GTATTCATTCCTCAAACTGTTAACAATAGTTAACAACTGATCCACTGAACTACGTAGATCCTTCACCTCCTGAGATACTGAACTACATAGATCCTTCACCTCCTCGGATACTGAACTACGTTGGTCCTGGGATACTGAACTGTGAAGGTCCTTTACTTCTCGAGATACTGAGGCAACCGTACTGCGTAAGTCCTTCACTTCCTCGGATAATGGTTTTATCTGATTCTCAACATCAGTTACAGTTGCCTTTATTAAAAGTTAATACTGTGCAATAAAAAAGATTATACTGTCAGATTTTACTCACCGAAGGTTCAGTAGCAATAGACTTTTCAATTTTGTCAATTTTTTCTTTCAAGAAATTGTGCTGATTTGGTTTTTGCTTATTTTTAACATCAATGGCCTTCTTTGACTTCTCTGTCAAAATTTCTGCAATTTTTTTGCTTTCGTTGGCAGCCAGGATCTTTCTTTAGCAAAAAAATTTATTAACCATCTTAGAAAGTCTTCAATAGGTAGTGTAAATTCAACCTATGACATTGATTATACAGTAATAGTATACTACGCTGTAGACACAATCACAATTCTTACTCTCAGAGTTAGTCTGTGAGTATCAGCTGATTTTTTAATTTCTTGGGTGTCATCAACAGCCAAACTGATCTATATATGGGTTAGTCAGTGAGTGGTGAGTTAATAGAATATGAACATACCAATAGGTTAAGAAATAGGATTGGCATTAAAACCACAAACACAATTAATAATGAAAATGTAACCACTGGATACTGTACATCATCATCAGACAAGTGCATTTCACTATTCTGTAGCAATAATGAATCCACCTCATATTCCCCTACTGTCATTATTATTGTTTTAAGGGTTGTCCTCCATGGAGTGATAAATGGAGTACGCTATAGAGAGAAAGAGAGAAATAAACTGAAAATATACATAAATCATTACGGCCTTACCTTTTCTTTTTGGGGATCATAAAACATCATATAAAAAGGAACTGCAAAGGCCAAGATTAATAGTAAGGCAAGGATGAGAACTTTGATAAAGTTTTCACAAATTGTAATAAACATTACTACATATATTCCAACTACTGGTATCTTCCTTATTGAGAATACAAGTCCCATCCAACTGAGGAATACAGCAATCACTCCAAACTGCCACTGCCATGGACGAGTACAATAGCACTGGTCGCTACGCACTGATGCAAATATTATTGTAAAAATAAACAGTGGGACTTCAAAGTAGTTGACAAAACTGAGTAGATACTGTTTTCTGAACCAAAAAAGCTGAAATACTTCTCGTATTATCATGAATCCAGAATAAACTAGCAGGCATAGACCAACAATAGGATAATATCTTGGAGATAACTCTAAATTAATGCAACATGTCTCATGACAGTCCCATGATTATAGTTTACTTACTGGTGCCTGAAAAGCAATCAATAAATAAGCCAGTTTCATTTCCAGATTCCTCAGTAAATATTTCATTTTCATTTTCAGATACCTCTATACCTATTGAAAATAATTCTAATAAACTACTTACTAATAACTTACATATTTTTGAATTGGGTCGATGGACAGTGAGAGCGTAAAATGTCAGTAAAAGGACAAACAAAAAATAAAATATGAAATTAACGTAATAAACTATCCATCCATATCTATTCCATTTTTGATCAAGAAGAGTAGCAGCAAGTCGATGCTTTAATAAATCTTTTCTTGGTGACTTAGCCTAAAATAATATTTAATAATAATAATGATAATTACATTTTTACACTCATTACTTACAAGAATAGTAAGACAATGATTTTCAATAGAGTAAAATTTTGCTGGTGGAGGCCAATTTGAAAATCTTGATCCACTTTTTGAAGAAGTATCAATAGGTAATAGAAGTAACAAATTTATTCTTACAGCTTATCAAAATCATCAAGAAACTCATAATTAAAAGTAATCTCATGATCAGGATGATATTGTGGTGCTTCACTCTTACAGCAGAGATCAAAAACAACCTTAGCTACATCTAAAGAAGAATAAATGTAAAAAGTTAATAAAAATGCAACACAAACATGAGTACATTATTCAATAGTTATATCACACACAGCTATGGGAGTAACCTGGCATCTTCTTAATTATCCTTCTCATTGGTGTAGTGAATTGATCAGTCTTTCTATAATTGCAACAGCATGATATCCCAGTGCTTTTGTCCCTGTTATCACCTCCAGTGTATTTACGTAATGCATTCTGCCACTTAGCACTATTTACTATAGCCATTGCAGCATTTCTAAATTGTAAATAAAAATAACTTGACATAATAAAATCATGAGTCATAATAATCATAATTATTCTCACTTTTGACCCTTCTTTACAGCAACCTCAAGAGGATTAAGACCTTCTTTATCACATTTCTTAACATCAGCTTCATGATCCAGAAGTAGTTTGATTATTTTTGTATGTCCTTTGACACAGGCAATATGAAGTGCTGTATACTATAGTAATGATAATAATAATAATAATAATAATAATAATAATAACATGGTCCTCCTTTTTCATCTGTTTTTGTCTTTCCGTCACCATTTGCTTAGCATAATAATAATAAATAATAATAATAATAACAAGATACATGAAACCCCTTATTGAGCTTCCACCTCACTGTGATGGTTGTGGTGATGTATTTACTACTTCACATGCTCTAGACTGTAGAAGGGCCAGGGGTGGATTGGTCATATACAGACATAACGAGATTTGTGATCTACTGTTTTCTCTCTCATCCCTGGTGTGGGCACAAACAGTGAAGGAGCCCATTGTGAAAGATGGCACCTCCTCTAACCCACCATCTAATTCATTAATAGCTGATCTGGGTGCAAGAGGAGTCTGGTAGCCTTAAACAACAGCACTATTTGACATCAGAATAGTTGATACTGACGCCCCCTCTTACCTTACCAAATCCCCTGAGGCTGTTTTAAAGAGTACTGAGAGAGAGAAGGAAGCTAAATACAGTACTGCTTGTGAAGACCATCATGCCAGCTTCACTCTCCTATGCATATCAGTTGATGGTCTTGTTGGTCCTGAGATAAAGACTTTTCTCGAAGTCTTGTGCATTAGAGGTTCAAAATCAAAGTGGGGGGCATTGGTTTAGAGGATGGCTATGGCATCAATGATTTTATTATCTAACTACTCCTATGTTCTTAACTTCTTATTACTCTGTATACTCTCTTAATTTTATTACTGTCACTAAGTATTTAATTCTAATATTATTCCTAATCTTTGTTCTTATTGTTCACTTCACACACACACTCTCTCTCCCCCTCTCCTTTCTTTCTCTCTTTTTATTATTACTGGTACTATATATTCTGTCGTTATTTTTCTTCTTTATCAGTATCTCTAACCTACACTATATTTATATTTTTGTTAATACGTAATAATTATTCTTTTGTTGATGATAATAATATAATAACCATATCTCTTACTTCATTTTGATCAATGCAATTGATATTAGCTTTATGCTCCAGTAGTAATTCAACTACTTTGTCATGTCCTTTTTCACAGGCTAAATGAAGTGCTGTATGCTAATAATTAATAATTACCATTTCAATTGAACTCTAGATATTACTTGATCTTTATCAGTGACATTGATATTAACTTTAACATGCTTCAGTAGTAATTCAACTACTTGTTCACATCCTTTTTCACAGGCTAAATGAAGTGCTGTCTGTAATAATTGTATAATTAAAACAATAATATATTATTTTATTACTTGATCCGCTTTATTCCTCTTATTGACATCGACTCCATTTTGCTTCAGTAGTAAATCAACTAAATCTTTATGTCCATTCATACAAGCAATACCAAGTGGTGTAATCTACATAATAATAAATACTAAAATAATAAATTATAATGCTTCATACTTGAAAATCAATATCCATGGAATTGACATCACTTGCAACACCGTGCTCCAGAAGTAATTTAACTATTTCGGTATATCCTTTGCTGCAGATGACATGAAGTGGTATATACTACATTATAATAATAATACATAATAATATGGCCATCAAAGACAAGATAATAGTAAATAATAATTTATATATCTCTTACACCAATGGGGTTGAGATCTGATTCAATTTGAGAGTGAGAATCATGATGTTTAATTCCATGCTTCAGTATTACTCTAACAATTTCTGTATGCCCTTGCTCACAAGCGATATGTAGTGGTGTGTAGCCTTTACAATCTATAGCATTTAGCATTTTCTGCTTCTTGTCTTCTTCAAAACATAATGATAAGATTGTGTTGACAGCTTCATGATGACCATGCAAGCAAGCAATATAAAGTGGCGTACCCTTATTGCTAATTTTACAGCAATCAGCTCCTTTTTTAATAAGAAGCTCAATAATTTCTTTATTATCAACTTGACAGGCTAGATGAAGTGCTGTACGCTATGATAATAATAACAATTATTATAATCAAATAAACCCTGACTTTTACCTTATATGTATCAGTCTGATCAATATGATGATTAGATCTTTCAAGTAAAACTTCTAAACCTTTCTTTGCAGCAACATGTAGCGGAGTAAAACCAACAAAAAATCTCGAACTAATTCTTTGGGAAGTGCTTTTGCCATTAATACGGCATGATAATGAATAATGATTATCGGGCTCATTCTGCCTTAAGGACTCAATCATTTCTTTTGACTTATTATTGATATTTGCTCCATCAGGACCATCACAAACTGAAATACCAATATCGTCATCTTTGCTTGCATTCATCAGGCGGCTATAAAGAGGATCCTCTTGACTAGAGATGCATGGATTAGCTCCATTCTGAAGTAGGACTTTAATGATTTCTGTATGCTCTTCCTCACAAGCAACATGAAGTGGTGTATAGCCAATAGAGTCTATAGCATCTAGCATTTTCTGCTTCTTGTCTTCTTCGGAACATGATGATAAGATCATGTTGACAATTTGATGATGACCACGCAAGCAAGCAATATAAAGTGGTGTACGCTTAACGTTATCAATTTTACAACAATCAGCTCCTTTATCAATAAGAAGCCTAACAATTCTTTCATTACGGAACTGACAAGCATAATGAAGTGGTGTCCATCCATTCTTATCAGTAGCATTGATATCCACTGCTTCATTCTTTAACAATTCAGCAACATCATCACATTTATTATCCATACAGGCTTTGTGAAGTGGTGTAAAACCACATTTATCTATATGAAATTTAATACACACATTACTATAAAAGAAATAGGGCACAAATTAAGGCCTTCATACACTAGGCAGCTTGTTGCTAGCAACACTTGTGGTTAATTTGATCTTGTGAGCAAGATATTTCCAGAAATAGAACAGCTTAGCAACAAGTTGTCTCATGTATAAAGGCCTTTATATACAGCAGTTGCATGTTGCTTTAGCTATTGGTAGAAGCTTCAAAGTAGTGAAGCATGATGCTCCATGCAATGCAAGTGCAACACACACATTATGAAACAAAATACCAAAAATTAGTTACAGGTTTTACCATCATCAGATGAGAAAAACTCAGTGACTTGTTCTTCATTGTTACATATATTGTCAGAGGCATTAGCAGTTGGCATCGAACCATCAGCAGAAGTAAGAGGCTTTAATTGAACCTTAACTAGTACATACATGTACATTGTCATGATTCTTTAAATATAATAACTAACCAGCATCTTCAGACTCACCACTCTGAGGCTATGAAAGATAGAAATAAAAAGAAAGTGGCAGGATAGAAGAAGAGATACAGAAACATAAAAAGGTGAATAATAATAATATCATAAGTCATGGTATTATCCAGGGTGTGTGCAGTGTGCAGTCAAGAACTCTTGGTGCAGTGCACTCCTCTTGAATGCCAACACGTATGTGACTATTGTCTGCAACTTTGCATGGTATCACACAGGCATTTTAGAGCAGACAGTATAATAAAAAGCTGAGCTAAAAGCAGGCTTTTTAAGAATTAAAAGATACAACTTACTTCCATCTGAATACTACAATCAACCCTATCAGTCATCCTATCGTTCAAAAATTCTCTTCACTCAGTCAAGTTATCAGTTCCACAAATTACAGAGGTGAGTTAGCTATATAGGCAAAGAAGTGCAAAAACTTGTTATCTACTCTAAAACTTTGTGTAAGATAAACTATTTGTAATTCAATTGAATCATAAGGTATATCACTTATTACAACACCTTGCTATCATCAATTCATAGGATGGAGAGTTCATCTTGATAAGATCATTTCAATGCATTCTATACAAAGTTTAGAGTATGAGTTCTTTCATGGTTCATACCCTGTTACAATTAGGAGTAACATTGAATAAACTATTCTCACAAGACTGTGGATGGACGATCACTGAATGAAATTAATGCCATAAATGGAATTATGAATGAATCTATATAATTTTAGCTCAAGTTTTTCAGGCCCTGGCTCAAGCTGCTAAGCTTGACCTTCATACTACGTTTACACTACGGAACTGGGCCAAACCGTGCTGAGTCAGACTGAGCTGGCCCTGCTGTACTAACCATGCTGGCCTGGTTTGGCCCAGCTCACTTCAGCTCAGTTTGGTTACTGTTTACACTATCAAATGAAACTGTGCTGGCCCACTTTAAACAGGGCTGACTGAGTTAAAGAAGCTAGTGTAA